ACCAATTTTAAAACTTTTAAAAGGCTTCTTAGAATAGCCGTGTAAGGTAAAAGCAGTAGGAGACATACTTCTAGGTTTCCTTGCAGATTTTACTTTTTTTTAAAGATAGTTGATACCGCCTGAATGTTTGGATTTTCATTTTCAAATGCTTGAGTATAACTGATTTCCTAGACGATCTTTTTTGTAATCCTTCACACCACATTTGAATAATCTCAATATCCCTAATGCCTGGGTCACATTTGCTCCGATCCATCGGCCGGCGCCCGGCCGATTGAGTGTTTTGCTCAATATTGTATTCAATTTTGAACAAAATACTCAATCGGCCGGGCGTTGTAGTGAAAATCGGAGCAAATGTGACCAAGGCATAAATTCAACACTAACTACGGAGAGAAACGTTTTTTAGTTAAAGGTGATCTTATATGGAATGTAACACCATTTTATATCAAACTTTCAGAAAACATTCCAGTTCTCAAATAGTCACTTAGAGATTATTATTGTAATCTATACTTGGAGGAAAACTTTCTTGAACTACTGGAAGATTTCAGATGATATTATATATTTCTTTTACTTTTCACATCAATTTTGTTGAAGAACTAGATGATGTTATTGAAGAACTAGGTGAGACCTACAGCCATTTTCAATGAATAACTTAATTTTCATCATTAGAGACATTAATGCCTTGGTCACATTTGTTCCGATTTTCACTACGGCGCGCGGGCGATTGAGTATTTTGTTCAAAATTGAATACAACATTGAACAAAACACTCAATCGGCTGGGCGCCGGCCGATGGATCGGAGCAAATGTGACCCAGGCATTAACTGGCATATAAAATCGAAACGGGAACCTGTACGTATAAAATCACCCTATGCAAATGCATGTAGTCAAATAAATAAACGTTCGGTTACAGTGTTTATTTAGTCCGTTACTGAGACCACACTGAAGACTGTAATACGCTATTGATAGTTATATAGCTGGTTTTCTATGATACATATTTTAAACAAGCTCGATTCGTAAGTCATTTGAAGCTAAAGCATTTATGCCAGACATCATTTTCTTCAGAAAGTATTATATTTTAGATCGAAATCTTAAAGCTTAAAGTCTCTATTATGTACGATATCATACTTTAAACAATTGCGTATACCTTTCTTATTATACATCATGAACATTTGTAAATACCAGTATTATTCTCCCTCCTGGGGGTCACTATAACCTGTATATATGTTATATTGATAGATTCAATCTACGTCTGTCGTCTCTTATCTGTTTCGACATCTGGCTATCGATATTGATATTTTTAATACATAGCACGGTGGACTCCAGCTAAGATTCAAATTTATTTGTTCTCCGTTTGATCCTTTAGAAGCAGTTTGTATCGCTACCTCGATGTGGTCATTCTTAAGTTTAGTGGAACGATCCCATATATCGTCAAATACTCACTTGAGTTTGAACGGAATGTAATGGAAATAGAGCTCGCATGACCTATATATTAAAATGCGATGACAGGGTTTAAAATGTTTTCAGTACCTTCTGTTTGGTGGTTAAAACAGATGATTACTTAGTATGTTGGAATTGTTATCAAGTAACCATGTTTTAAGTACCAACCAAAAATTTCAAAAAGGCCATAGTTCCTTCAAGAACCCCTATTCTTACTATTGAAAATTGATTCTTGCAATACTATCCCATATGATTGTACTTGTTGAGACTCAATCAACTTGATTTTTTTCTGAGAAAATGAGGATTTTGTATCTACCGCCATGGTGACATACATGATGGTATCCCGATGCTAAGTCATTAGTCAATGGTGTGTATCGCCATGCTAAGGCAATGCCATCCTTGCGGAAATCTTCATTTTCTCAGAAGAACTCAAGTTGATCGAGTCTCAATAAATAGATTCATGTTGGATAGTATTGCTAGAATCCATTTTCAATAGCAAGAAAAGGGGTTCTTAACCCCCCTATCACACCAAACTAGTTCTTACCCGTTCTTGCCAGTCCTACGAAAACGTCGTAAAACGGGCTCAATCTGACTGTGGTCGGGAAATATGATTAAATAATAAGCTACCTCGTTCATAAACAGTCTTCAATACGTCCATCTCATTCGCAGTTCGTCCAGGTCGCACCACGTCGGTGTGTAACGTCGTATAATACGTGCATTAGTCTAGAAGGTCATCATGACCTGATTACAGAACGGTATGGTCGCCATCGAATTTTGAATCGATTCAAAATTCTAAATCACATTCCCCGTCCGGGAAAGTCCATGAAGTTCGTAAACAGACCGTAGAACATTGTAGCTACGTTCATTCCGTTCGCACACAGTATAAAACCAGTTTTGAAGAACGTAGTGGCAATTTGCTTGGTGTCAATCTAGAGGACCTATACCCGTTCGAGTACGTTCTATGAAGTTTGTAAATAGACACCAACCGGTTCTAAGTACGTCCAGTCCGTTCGTACACAGTTGAAGCCCGTTTTCGAGAACGTAGTGAGAACTAGTTTGGTGTGATAGTAGGGTAAACAGGACACTGGGCTTCCTATTTAGAACTTTTTGTTGGCTCAATTTCTCTTTCCTATTAGTGTAGCAATGTGTTTCGGCTTAAACGTTTTACCAACCGTAACTGGAATCATAAGCTTTCTAGAGAGTTCTGTAAACAGGTCTGTTTCTGATCGTTGTCTTGATTAAGGTCAAGTTCATCCCTTTAAAAACATGAGTGAATCCATGACAGCTCCATCAACTCTTGTAATATCCTCTTAATAACATAATACGTATACTCGGATGGTGATGATGTACAATAAACATTGGGTTACATTGAGAACAGTGGTTGTTTTAAAAGGGTAGTCCTCATCCTATTGACAAGGAAGCCAATAAAGTATAGGATAAAACACATTTAAGAGTATGAAAGTCGTCTATATCCCTCGGGGCTACATTAGAAGCAAAATGGTCATAATTTGACATGTAAGGTAGCAATTATACATGGGTATTAAAGATGAAATACTCATTATTTCTGGTTTATGATACAGATATAGTCGATTTACTCTTGAAACATTGCGCATGTTACCATTGAGAGTCGTTTAGGTGAGTTGACATGAGATAAACTCTCAAAGTTGATCTATTTGATACAGCAACCGTTGTTCTCTTTGAAATCGCTTGGATTTATTTCTGCAGAATATGCTTTTTAGTATGTCTCTTTGATTGGAATTGCCACAAACGAGAAATTATGTGGTTAATAACTTCTATATTTTACTAGTGATGGTTCAACGTTTACTTCTTGCCAGATCAAAGTTGGAAGCTGTCGTTTGACTTGATAATTCACTACATCAGTAAAAGATATAAAACAACTTGATCAGATTCATTACAAAGCTTCTGTAATCTGCCCTGGCGCTATATTTGGATTATCATTCACCAAGGTCCTGGAAAATTTGAACTTGTAAATCAAAAGACTATAACTACTTTTCATTGCCCCCTCAAGAAACCATTTTTAATAGACTTTGAAGTCCAACTTAGCCATTTAATTGATTATCATAATAACCTTAAAACAAAAATGGATAATTGCATTTTTTCTATTTGATAAACCATCACTTACAAGATGTGATAACATCAACATACTCAGTCTCAGTGCAGTCTTTCTTGAAAAGTGTGCAACCATCACCACTCACCAGTCCCCAGTTGATTGAATCGTTTACTTATCACTTTGTGTTACGTTGATTATTATATGGTTTGATTTTTTTCTTTTATTTAGCCAATAATGCTCTTTGAACCCAGCAAAAATGATTGATTTTGTGAGATCTAATTATAAATAAACTATAAATAAAAAATATATTAGACAGCAAGATAGTTCTTGATCAAATTGCCCCTAATTCATTTGGATGTGTTGATCTTTGTTCTTTTAGCTTACCGCCTAATTTTGTGACATCCTTGATTTGTTTGAACACATTGACCTAAAATATATACGACTGTTAACAGGAACTGTTTTATAATTTCAGTATTATCATTAAGTAAATTGATATTGAGTGTTATATTTGCACGCTAACACATCATTTAACTGAGCCATTAATCAGGACATCAGGCTCCACAGCTAAAGCATCAGTCACTTTTGCTCTATGACGCCCGTACGGTTGCCGTAGATCAAATGTGACTGAGATATGACGACTTACTTTATCCCATTCTATATCGATTCCATCGGTATACAAAAGCAAATGTTTTATTACTTATATTGTTGCATCGAAAACGCAATGGTTCTGGGTATTGTGACAACAGCCATCTCTAATCATGTAAAATATCAATGTTCCGTCACACATGAGATTTATCCTTATGGCAAATAATTAATGGAAGAGTTTTATTGTTTCACAGAGAGTAATAGGTGTAATGAGGTTAGGTGATATAAGAGAATGCCGCAGTAAGTGCACCTTTTATCACGACTATCAAAAAGGATCCTAAATTATAATATGTCCCTTATACCGCTCAATTTTTCTCTTCACATCACAAGCAAGTGTTATGACTCCGGGGACAAGACACAATCATAAAAAATTATAACAATTATTTACATACACAACACAAGCATCATTATAAAAAAGGTGTGTTTGTTCAAAACAATTTATAACATTTCATGTTGATTTAGAATTCAATAATGTGAATTTGCAATTGTAATTTCGTACATCTGTATTGTAGATTAATCAACATTAAATCTAATATTAAATGTATTGTAAAATTGTAAAATGTTTATCATGTAACTGTACTCTAATTGTTTTTTGCAATTGCTTTAACATGCCTATTCTTTGAAAAAAAAACACACACATTAAATCTAGCTAGTCTAGGATGCGTACTAGTTTTACTTACAACATGCGAATGCAACTATCCTGCCACACACCCTTGTTAAAATGATCTGATTTATCTTATAGTTAATTGCTTCTAAAAAAGCTGTTTCCCAAAGCGACAATTTCAATGTGTTTATAGAAAGTACTATTTCATCATTTAATTTGCTCATTTGTATGCTCTTTAATTCCAGATTGGATGAGTTTCACGGTGACAATGTCTGACATCCACTAACCAGAACAGCGCCATGGAGGAATTTACACTCGTTATGAGTACTACTAACGAAACAGACGTTGCTGATCCTAATGCAGGAGAAACTTCCAAAGTTGAACTATATATAGTCATGGTGATATTGTGTATATTCACAATTGTCGGAACTGCTGGCAATGGGCTCGTGATATACGTCTACTCTCGTAAAAAGGATAAACTGACATCCACGTTGTTCATTCTAGTGCTAGCAGTTACAGATTTTATGACTTGTTTGATTATAGTACCATATACTATAGTGATGGAGTACATGGGGTTTATAATAGGAGATCATGATCTTGCGTGCAAGGTCTACCAGTTTCTCATAACATGTAATGTTCCATTCTCTGCCTTCATAATGGCAGCCATTGCTGTGGACAGATACCTTTGCATCTGTCATCCGTTCCTTCATGCCATGAACCCGTTCAGGGCGAAACTGATAGTGTTTGCACTTTTGATACTAGCCTTCAGTTTGGGGACATTTACCTCACTAGCTTTTGGTGTATATAATCATAAAACATTTAATGAAACTTACACTACGGTGAACGTGACTTCACTGGGGAACGTAACACGTGAAACCACCATAGAGGTGACGCGAGTGGTGCTGAACGGAGCATGTGCAGGAAATACTCTCATTCTGAGCAATGCTATACTTCTTGTGTACCAGAAAGTATACACCTCTCTATATGCCATCTCCTTCGTTATTGTTGTCGTCCTCTACACCTTGATCGTATACAGTGTTCTTATCAGAATGCGCATGCGTCAACGACAGAAACGCTCCGTTTTATTGAAATGTGAGATGTCGACTAATAGTTCTCCATCTTGCCTTCCATCGGAAACTGTTGCTCTAAACGGGAGCAATCTTGGGAAGAATGGGCATTCTATAAAAGACCCAAAGGGATTCAAAAGAAAGGCCAGCAAAAAGGACAAAAATGTAATGGCTAATTTGAGAATGGCGATGATGCTTTTTGTGGTGACACTAGTGTTTATTGTCGCGTTTCTTCCCGCCTTTTTAATGGCCCTTGAACTTATCCCGTACAGTCTGGTAGTCTTCTACATGTATTTTGCTTATAACGTCGCCAATCCTATCATATATTCATTCATGAATAGGAATTTCAGAGACGATCTCAAAAAGATTTTTAACTGTTTATAATTCCTTATCGTATGATCATGCAAAAAATAAAGAACTTGTAAATTAGTCATGAATATACAATTGGAAATTGATAAGAACATCGCTGGTAAAATAAATCTTATCGATTAACAATTCGATTAGAATCACATAAGAAATCATTGAAGAAAGAATAGGGCGCAACAAACCATTTTTAGCGTCATGGTAATAAAAATTGAATTACGCCATAGGTAAGCGGAAGAATGAACCATTTAATGTTATCGATGTGCTGCCCGAGATAATCTAAAAAGTAATTAATAATAGAGGCTATACACATGTGTCGCTCCAGACAGACATATGAGAGGGTTTATGGTTTCTGCCGTCACGCCCACTGAACAAGCAGAAACAAATCCTCCGATTATATTACCCGACGACTGCGGATGGACCATAAAGTTGTCATTGAAATGTTTACACCACCACCGTAAATCATATTATGCATGTACTTATATTATAGTAGCTATAAAACTAGGTGACCTGGACATATCATGCTTGGATGTGATAAGACAAAAATATATCTGAAAGAACAAACACTGAATAATTAAATTACGTATGGAGCACTGGGCGGATCAGCAAATGCAACGATGAAATAACATTTAACTTTGTCAAAGACGTAAAATAAACAGTGATAGGTCAGTGATCTTCATCCGGATGCGTGGCATCGGTTATATAATTATGTACAATGATAACCCAAAACGTTATTTATAGCCAGAGTGTTTGTAAATAATATGATATACTGTAGTGTATTATAGAGGCTGTATATCTCCAGCCTGCACATAACCGATATGTATGATATATTCTGCACATGCTTGGCTGAAGCCGCTTGTAACATACAAGCAAGCACAACGAATCGGTTTCAGTTAACCAAAAACGATTCGATCGTACAATATAAAGTGTTTCTTATGTACGTGCAAAAGTTTGGTCACTGAATGTCATATACTTAAATTTTAATAGAAGTGTCAATGAACCGCTCATATATATTGCACTAATTAAACATGATTATGTTAAAATGTCAGTATTCTGCAATAATTTACTTATTTATTACTTCAAGGGTAAATAATCATTTCAACATTAACCTGTTCCTAATCACATCTTACGTACCAGAACTAGATTCCATAATCCATTTATGTCCATTGAACCATGCAAATATCTGTCTTTATTGATAGAAATAATCTAAAAACAATTACTGAAATGTAATAAAGTATAAATAATTTGACTGCTAAATTCCATTGCCTGATTAAAAACGAATTGTTCGAGGGCTTCGCAGTAAATTATCTCGAATGCCACAGCACTTTTTTCATATTTTTGATAATTACATAATTCCTGTGTGACCCATTGTAGTTGTACAGGCAACACAAATCAAAGCGTGAAAATGATCCAGCAATTAAGTTCAGTCTCGTAGATGCTATACATACCCGTGATTTATTACTTGAATCAAACAAAATGGTAGTCGCTCATTCAACACAATCTGTAATCTGCAAGTGGGGTGCAGTGGGAGATTGTGCTGGATATAATACCATATACTAGTAATATGGAGTTAAGTTACACATTTTAAGAGAACCTGTAAGTGGGCCTGTAATATTTCGACCCCGGGGATTACCGTCCCGCTCTCAATTCACTTCCAGGGTCCTACTTATAACTATTTTCCTTATACCTGCCTCAGTCGCATTTCATCTATGGCAACCGTCCGACGGTTGTAGCTTCCCAACATTGATAGGAATATGCAGCTTAAAATATAGGGATATCGACTTTGTGAAGCTACGACCACCGTACGGCCGCCGTAGAGCAAATGTGACTTTATCCACAAGGGATTATAATTCTACACGTTCAGTACACTTTTTTAAAACGTGTATCTTAACCTCCCTAATTAATGTTATACTACGATGTACTGCAGGCAATATCCGCCATTAAAAGTTCACTGCGCATGAGTCATATTTGTTATATTTCCATGTAACTCAACATGAAATAAAAGTATTAAAACTTGCACAAACCGTCAAGTGAAAGTGCATTTGTTTCATTGTAAAGCAGAAGACTTTAACTTGGCATTAACTGTAAATTTAGAATTGGAATTAATACAGTTTTTCAGTAAGATATTTATTCATTCGTACCAGCATTGAATTATTTAAAACTTATTTCCATAAACGATACTTTGTGTAATCTACGTTTCTTATCAAGATCATACCTGTTGAATTAATCAAGAAGCATCCTAGATTTAGTTTTTATGGTTTCTTTATTTTCAAAATTATTTTTTTACATATGGCATGGCCTAGGCTGAATTTAGCATCAAATGCCTTTTCAGAACAAACCATAATAAAACTGGCTACCTACATATCAATACATTCACACAAAAAGGATGTGAAATACTTTAAAACTAAAGCATTGCATGCTAAACTATCATCTCTGCCATACAATACGATATTTTGCTTTTGCTCTATTGATCATGAGCTACATGTAAAGAAGTTCATTTCTTGCATGTTATTGAGTTGCCCCAACGGTTCTCTCTGTTCTTCAACAGATGGCATTTGAGTAGGTACGTGTACGGTGCTTTGTAGTTTTTTTGTTTGTTTAAATCCAGATACATTTGGGACTATCAATGCCCTTAACAAAATGTCGGACAAACTACCCGTAAAAATTAAATAAAGTCACATCTTATACTATTTAATAAAATTTGTCTTGTAAGATCAATTTCTATGGTTGTTAATTGCTTCTTGTCTCCTAAATATTTATGTAAATTGTTTTTAAACAGTAGCTCTAGAAGGCGGACCTTTTAGATGAATATGATAAGATATAAAACCAAGACGTTGTCACACGGCGCAATAGAAATTATTCATATCACTGTGACCCATGAGATACGATAACAGTAGTTAACGTTGTTTTGAAGACAAACCGCCTGTTAATCTATTAAAAGAATTCATATCATTTGCAATGAATGTTCTCGATTATTAATATCTGAGTGATTTACAGTCAATATTTTAAGAAGAACATATTAATTTTAGCTCAAATTTCACTATACAGCCTGTTGATATCAATACTCGATCGACTAGAGCTTTTAAAAAGAAACGATAGCAGTATTTGAAATTTGAGAGAAGTACTTAGATATTGAAGTATTCTACTTTTTGTCTGTTAACATGAACTTCACATTATTCTTCGAATTCAAACTGGTATATTTTCTAAGAGCCTTCCACTTACTTCTAGCTACGGCCTGTACAAATGGCATGCAACGGAATGTCCAAATGCCTCGTCTACAAAAACAACAGTTAGGTGCTACTTAATGACTTCATGGTCCCCGGTGGCCCACTTATTTTATGGTCATCGTCTCATGCTATAACCAATTCCTTTTAGTGAGCACTTAAAATGTAAGACAAACGATAAAAGTAATATTTTATTGAGGCTTCTTTTACACTTGTTTATTCAAATTATCTTCAAAACACGGGTAGAACTAGAGATGGATGTTGTACCAATAATGATACACAATATGAATCGTAATGTCTTTACAATGTATTAAAGTAACTTTCCATGATTTCAACTAAAAATTAAAACCCTTGGAAATACTAAATATGGTTTGAGTGCCATATATAAAATTTATTTTAGAAATATTGTGGATCAAAATAAAAAAATAAATAAAATAAAGAATAAAAAGATATTCCACCCGTGGGATTTGAACCCAGATCTTTTGGAATAAAAGTCTGGCTGAGTCCAAAGCTCTAACCACTACACCAAAGAGCCAAAGCTTCCTGACTGGAGAAATTCTTTATCTATATAATCATGGACGAAAAAAGTCTTATTTATATGCTTAAATTTCTTAGAAATGATCAGCATTACTACTTATAATAACATTTTGCATGTCTGAGTAAGTATTTTGATCTACATTTAGGATAAATGTTGTTTTATTCAGTTTTCATTTTGGGTATGACTTCCTGTCAAAACAGTGTTAAAAATGCAGGGCTCAACAAAAATTTTCAATTAGAAAATGATATATATCCTTTGATCAGCTGTTTTTGGCACCTGAACTCATCCTACTAGAACGGTAAGAGCATTTTCTTGAGACATATGGCTCGAAATCTCATATTTCTCCTTCTAAGTCTTAGAAAGAGACTTTAAGTACCTTACAGTAAATACTTTTCCTAATGAACTATGGTGCTGTGTTGTAATGTCCTTCAGATTTTGGAGTAACTACCTTAGTTTACAAATCCTTTCATGTTAACATTTCCTTTAATAATGAAATCATGTCCACATACCCGTATTGTTGCAGAGCTAACAAAATATATTTCATTTGACCCAATTCATTTCGACATACAGTATTATTTAATAATGATAAAATTTGGACTCAATTTTGGACTCCATTATCAATAGTAGACTTATTAAGAGCCTTTAATGATTTTTTCACAAGTGAGGCAAAGTTACAATTAACAAAACATCTAGCTTCAATGACCAAGTCTTGAGATTATTGTCACTATGCCTTTCATTACGTTTGAAATCCGATTGTTTAGAAATCAAACGATTGTGCTCAAAATACTACATAACATTTAATGATTAGTCGTTTTTATCAGAGAGGATATATAAGGGTTATGTACTGGGAGGTTTTGGATATGGGGTTTATCCAGAGGGAGATATGCATATCTACCTGAGGGACCGTAGGGACCGAAGGTAGATGTGCATATCTCACGAGGGATGAACCCAATATCCAAACCGACCGTACATAACTGCTTTATCCTATACCAAGTAGAGTTTTCTAATTTTCTTTCAATTTTTTCTATTTTTTTCTTTTTTCAATTTTTTCACATTTTTCTGATTTTTTTCAATTTTTTCAAAAAAATTCAATTCTTTATTTTTTCAAATTTCTTTTCACATTTTTCTTTTTTTTCAATTTTTTCAAATTTTTTTCGAAGCGGGAAGATATGCACTGGAGCGGGAGATATGGCGGGAGATATAGAGGTTCAGGATATGGAAACCTCAAAATCAGGATACGCGATATATTTTACCAACTTATCTCCCTAAAACTCTACTTGGCATAGGATAAATAAGGGTTATGTACTGGGAGGTTTTGGATATGGGGTTTATCCAGAGGGAGATATGCATATCTACCTGAGGGACCGTAGGGACCGAAGGTAGATGTGCATATCTCACGAGGGATGAACCCAATATCCAAACCGACCGTACATAACTGCTTTATCCTATACCAAGTAGAGTTTTCTAATTTTCTTTCAATTTTTCAATTTTTTCACATTTTTCTAATTTTTTTCAATTTTTTCAAAAAAATTCAATTCTTTATTTTTTCAAATTTCTTTTCACATTTTTCTTTTTTTTTCAATTTTTTCAAATTTTTTTCGAAGCGGGAAGATATGCCCTGGAGCGGGAGATATGGCGGGAGATATGGAGGTTCAGGATATGGAAACCTCAAAATCAGGATACGCGATATATCTTACCAACTTATCTCCCTAAAACTCTACTTGGCATAGGAT